CCACTATGACCACCACACAAACCACTTGAACATTCTCTACAAAGTCTAAGGGAGAAGATGAATGTTAGAATCTTTAAACTAGCCTTTCATAAGATCAATATTTTTCCTTTGCATTCTCTGGGACCTTAAAGTCCAGACTTTTGCAGAAAGATAAAATAAATGTTAGTGCAGGTCTTCAGCTGAAAGTTCTGTTTGGCTCCCTGAGGTTAGCACCCAGTTCTGCTGAATGCAGGGGAGACATTCATGTGCTTCTGCATCTATTCACATAGATTCCTAGAGTTTAGAGCTGGGATGATTTTTCTTTCCCACTAAAATTCATAAAAGGAGGTAGGACCAAGATGAATAATTAGATTGATACTTGCTCAGTCAAAGCATATTAAATAAAAAATTCTAACTACAAACTGTGGGAGAATTGTTCATATAGCAAAGACATGGGCTATTGTTAAGTGACAGTGATTGGTGTGTGTATTCTTGTGTGTGCTCCTGTGTATGTGTGTGTGTTCCTATGTGTATGTTTGTGTGTAGTGTGTCATCATGCATATGTTCATGTATGTACAGGTGCACATGTATAGGGAAGCTAGAGGTCAACTTTAAGTGTCATTCTTCACTGTCCTTGTGTTTTGAGATAGCATCTATAAGCGTCCCTGAACTCACCAAGTAGGCTAGGCTGGCTGACCAGTGAGCCCCAGGGATCCACCTGTCTCTGCAGTCTCCCCAGTGCTGGTATTACAAGCACAGGTCACCCAAGCCCAGTTTTTAAAATATGGATTTTCGTTCTAGGGATTGAACTCAGGTCTTCATGCTTGCAAGGAAAGCACTTTGCCAACTGAGCCACCTCCCCAGCCCACGACTGTTTTAATCTGAATACTGATTTTGAGATGTAAGCTAACTGCTGTCCCAGAGACCCAGGCAGAAACTGAAAATCAGGAGTGTATCCACAAGTTCAAGTTGTCCTTACAGGGGAGCTTCCATAAGATGCTGCTGCTTCTCCAAATCGACCTTGAGTTTGGGACACAGAAACAAAAATGTTTCCCTTGACAACTAGCCTTTGAAACTCATCCTGAAGATGAATTTGTAGCCATTACACTGGTTTTGCCACAGCTGTGGCTGGTTCTTAATGTCTCACACAAGGGCTCAGAAACATCACAGAACCAGCTGACTGTCTTCTGTGCCATCAAACTTCCCTGTACATTCTGGTTGAGAAGTACACATTCTCATGCAGCCTAGCAGCTTTAAAAGTCAAGGCAGAACTTCAGATCCTGACCATGGCCATTCCCACACCTAAAATGAGACATGAGGCTCACTACCTGTATTAGTTACCTGACAAATGCAATTTTAAAAAGATTTCTTTTGGCTTACAGTCGGAGGGTACAGTCCATCAGGACAGGCAAGGCATGGTGGTAGGAGTGTGAGGCAGTTGGTCACATTGCATCTTTAGTCAAAAAGCAGAGATGAACACTGGTGCTCAGCTCACTTTCTCCTTTTTATTCAGTTCAGGACCCCAGCTCATGGGACTGTGCTACCCACATTTAGGGTGGGTCTTCCCAGCTCAGTTAACTCAATCTAGAAACTTCCTCACAGACATGCTTCAAGTTTTGTTTCCATGGTGATTCTAAATCTAACCAAATTGACAGTCAAGTTTAACACCACAAGTTATTTATAGCATGCTAGCCATCATCAGTGGTAGCTTGGTGCCAGGAAGACTGAATGATGGGAGAACATCTGATTAATGAATTGCAGCTAGCTACTTGTATCAGAAAGACACTTTTGTTTTATTTTTGCGATAGGATGTCATGTAGCCCAGGCTGGGCTCACTCATGTAGCTGACCTTGAATTTTCATCCTCCTCCTCCACCTCCAGAGTGTTGGGATTCCAGGCATATGTCATTACACCCAGTGAGAAATACACTGTTGCAGAAACTTCGTAGTAAATGAGTTAACCCAACCTTATCAGAACCATGAGAATGGAATGTTATAAAATTTCTATATCTAATATAAGCATGTTATTTGTGTGCATAGGAAGAGTGAGATTTACATTTTTTTTGGTCTTTTTGAGACAGGGTCTCCCTGTAGCTGCAACTGTCCTGGAACTATGTAGACCAGGCTGGCTTTGAACTCACAGAGATCTGCCTGCCTCTACCTTCCAAGTTGCTGGGATTATTTTTATCTAGCACTCTTCACCTTATTTTTCAGATAGTTTCTCAGTGAACTTGGAGAGACAGAATCTCTCATTGGATCTGGAGCTTATCAATTTAGCCAGGTTGGCTGGCTGGCCAGTGAGCTCCAGGGATCCTCCTGTCTCAGCCTTCCCATTACAGAGAATATAGTTTTTGTTTTGTTTCATTTTGGTGGGTGATGGGGATCCAAACTCAGGCCTTCATGCTTGTGCGGCAAGTGCTTTGCCCACTGAAGCATCTCCCCAGCCTCATGATTACCATATTTAACAAGCCAGGATGCTCAGGTTTATCTAGTTACAAATTACAATGTCAGGCTACAGAGGGACAGAGAACTGCAAGTTCTCTGCACCCTGGGATGCTGTGTTTGACTTAGAGATGATGGACAGACCCTGGAATGCAACTTTCCTTATTTACAGAGGCTGTCAGGGTGCATTTTAGCAGCTCTTAAGCCACCAAAGTTGTTTATGGGTACTTGGCAAGGGTTCCCATGGCATTTTATCTCAGTAAAGAAAACTTACAACAGTCAGATCTAGACACCAAAAAAATGTGGATGATGAATGTGAATAAGGCAACTTCATGACCTAATGGAAGACAGACTGGGATGCTATCCAGTCCTCAGAGAAGCTCTGACTAGATCACAGTTGCTCCTCTCTAGAAGATCCCACAGTAAGAAAGCAAAACAAGGAACTTCAACTCAGATACTCAACTTCTGACAATTTTGTTCAAAAGTGTTCTATGTGCAAAGGGCAACAATGGATTCTTCTGAATCTACCTGTCCTGGTTGGCTTTGGCTGTCAACATGACACAGCCTAGAGTCATCTGAGAGTCGTCTCAGCTGAGGAATTACCTGTATCAGATTGGCCAGTGGACATGTCTGTTTGGGATTCTCTTGATCATTAATTGATGTAGAAGGGCCCAGTCCACCGTGGATGGCACCATCCCCAGACAGGTGATTCTGGACTGTATCAGAAAGCTGCCTGAGCATAAGCCAACCTTGTACCAGCCAGCAAGCAGAATCCTCCATGGTCCCTGCTGTAGTTCCTTGGTTGTGAATGACTTCCTTGGTCATAGGTAATGATGTGTGGTATAGCAAGCAGGCTTGCCTTCAAGTTCCTGCCATGAATTCCCTCAATGATGGACTGTGACCTGCAGTTGTAAGTTAAAACAAACTTTTCCCTTCTTAAGTTGCTTTTGATCAGAGTATTTTTCACAGTAACAGCAATGAAACTGTTGATGGATTTATGTCCTTCCATCAGCTTTTCACTTCTTTATAATGAAGGGTGGTTCTTCTTTCTGTAGAAATGTTTTACTAAAACATCTTAAGAACACACATACAGGGCTGGGGCAATGGCTCAGTTGGTTTGAGTGCTTGTGTTTCAAGCACAAGGATCTGACTTTGATTCTAAGAAAGAAAAAGAAACATTGGTCTTGGAGAAGCCTAGCTTGAAATTTCTAAAACTTGCTCTTCTCCCTGAGTCTTTGTACACGTTGCTCAGCTGGTTTGTGTGGGAGCAGAACAGCACAAATTTATAATTGGCCCTGTAATGGTCAATATTGATGGTCAATCTGTCAGGATCTAGAATCACTTAGGAGACAAACCCCTAGGCTTGTCTGTGAGGGAGTTTCTAGATTGGTTTAGCTGAGGTGGGAAAAACCACCTTGAATGTGAGTGGCACAATCCTGTGAGCTGGGGTCCTGGACTAAATGAAAAGGAGAAAGTGAGCTGAGCACCTGCATTCATCTCTCTCTGTTTCCTAACTGTGGATACAATGTGACCAGCTGCCTCCTGCTCCTGCAGCCATGCCTTCCACACCATGGTGGACTGTACCCTCAAACTGTGGACCAAAATAATCCCTTCCTCCCTTAGTTGTTTTTGTCAGGCTTTTTGTCACAGCAGTGAGCGAAATAACGAATACAAGGCCCCTGGGGTTTTATCTCTTCTATATATATATATACCTGCTTATCTGCCATGAGGCTCTGACCAAAAGCCAAATGATGCTAGCCCCATGCTTTTGGATGTCCAGCCTCCAGAACTATGAGTTAAACTATTTTTTTTGTCTTTTTGAGACAGGGTCTCCCTGTATCCCTAGCTGATCTGGAATTCACTATGTAGACCAGTCTGGCCTCGAACTCAGAGATCTGCCAGCCTCTGCCTCCTGAGTGCTGGAACTGAAGGCATGCACCACCATGCCCGACATCTTCTATTCTTTATAACTCACTGAGTCTCAGGGATTTTGTTATAGCAACAGAAAACTGACTGAGACAATATCTGTCACATTAACCATTCAAGAAAATGAATGAATGAATTGAATGCCAAACAAAAAATCAACCCAAATGATACAGTGGATCACCAAGTTGGTCTAGGATTCACAGGGAGCATTTTAGGGGAACACTTGTTCAACAGTGCTCTGTTCTATGATTTGGACCGCATGTAGTATAGACAGATTTGAGAAGTTAAATGTAGCTAAAGAGACACTATGTAAAGGGCAGAAAGTCTTGGGAAGGTACTGCCTGCTGCCAGAATGTTTGGAGGAGAAAAGTAGCATGTTTATTTTTTGAAAGATTAAAAAAGAATACACTATACCATTATAAACAGTAACTCAATTAAATAAACTGTTTAGCTGAATTTTTCATTCTGAACACAAATGAAGGACATTATGTGGAAAACAGCTTGGAGGAGGTCCTGAGGAGGTGGCAGATATTTGTTTCAAGAAGCTAAGGCTGATGTCCACATTATAAGGCATGCTGTTTTCACCAGTTTAACAAACATTTTTTTTCTCAACCCATAACCCTGCTTATGACCCAAATGAAGGTGATTTATAGAGAGGAAAAAAGAATTCTCAAAAAATAGGAAGTTACTGTTCCCTGCCTCTCTGACTTTGACAAACTGCTAGATTTTCCCACTTGCAGGAAGCAGCTATCTGATTTCACAGTGTGCAGTGAGTGGGTCTTGAAAAGAGGGGTTCACATTTTAGATTCTCGGATCCTTGTAGAGCTTCATCTGAGAAGGAGATGGTGAAGACAGGAAGGGTTGAGAGGGAGAAAGAGAAGTATTGGTGTAGAGTCTTCCACAATGTTTTTGGGAAAACAGAGACTGGATTGGCATGGGAACAGGAATACAAAAGTGATGGGCTAGGGTGATGCTCAGTGGATAAAGCACTAGCTGTACAAGCATGAGGATTTGAATTTGGATCCCCAGAATCCATGTAAAAACTATATGTGGTAGTATGTGTCTATAATAGTACCTCTATGGTGAGAGGGAAGACTGAGATTGGAGAATCTCTGGAAGCTCGTGGGCCAGGTAGCCTGGTGTACTCAGCAGTGAATAAGAGGCCCTGTTAAACAATTGGAAGTCAAGGACTGATGTTCTAGGTTGTCTTCTGACTTCCACACAGGCACTGTGGTATGCCCACACTGGCACCCCCACACACAAAGACATACACACCAATACACACCACACACACACACACACACACACACACACGCACACACACACGCACATACCAAAAATGTGACAGACTAATAAAACCCATTGCTAGCAATGATGTAAGAGAAACAAGTATTCTTACACATCACAGGCAGGTGTGTAAATGTACATAACTATGTTCAGGAACAGCTTGGCATTGCATACTAACAACAAACCTATGCTATGATCTGCAATTCCTTTTCTAGACATATGTCAAGATTATATGTCTCAGGGGCTGTGTGGTCACAGAAAAAAAAATTAGTGAAAGCAACCCATAACCCATTAGTAGTTGAGAAGATAAGAATATAATCACAAGTCATCAAAGAAATGCAAATTGAAACTACTGGTGAATGTCAGTCACAAGGCTGGTGAGGATGTGGACAAAGGGGAGCCTTTATATACTGCTGGTAGGAAGGCAAACTACTCCAGCCACTGTGGAAATCAGTATGGAAGTTCCCCAAAGAATCTAAAAATACACCAGCTGTTTGACTCCTGGGTATTTACTCAAAGAATTCTAAGGCAACAGGTCACAGAGAAACTTTCACATTAATGTTTATTGCAGCACTGTTCATAAGAGCTAAGTTATAGAACAAACCTAGGTGTCCAACAACAGGCAGAGCAATGGGTAAGGAAAATGAGGTATACCACGCCTTGGTCACCAGACAGAAAAAAAAATCAATCTGGATCTGGGCTGGAAGCTTCCTCACTGCTGGCTAGCCCTTATAGTACCAGAAGGTGCTATGCAGGCTGCTGGGGAAGAACTGTAATCAACAATTTTGCTTAACTGGGAACCTGCATACAACACTATTGACCATGCAGGAAAGATGTGCCCACTGGTGCAATAGGGAAAGTCTGTTATAGGGGTAATCAATGGCTTTATGATTGGATTTGAGGCCCACTCCACAGGATGGAATTCACTTTTGGTGTTGTAAATCTAGTCAAGTCTATGACTGGGAAGGTCATAGGCCCTAGTGGGTAAGCTACTACTATTGTTTTTCTAAATTCACATGATATGTCCATCAAATTGCCTTCTAAATAGCCATATTTATGTCCATAGACCAGCACTGCTCTTGGTTTTGCATAGAGAAGGTTCCTTATGTAGAGACTCACAAATGGTTAAAGTGTTGAAAATAAGTGACTGTTGAATGCTTTGCCATAAATGAAACTTCTACATCACCTGTAGAAATGACTTTCACAATATGGACATAATCTGGCCTGAAGACTTTTACCTAACCTTTCAACCAAAAGTTACTGTTTATAATGTAAACAAGCTTACTGAGTCATGTGCTTCTCTTGCGATCTGGGCATATGACCTTAATCCCTCAGGATCTCCCCTTGTCCTCCACCCAAGATGGTGTGTGAATGTGGGTATGCATGCTGAAAGCAGTGTGCTTTTCTCATTGCAAACAATGAGAGAAATTGAGTGTGTGTGACATTCTAGGCCTAAGGATCAAAGGATGAGATTCTCTGATAATATAAGAGTGGTTCCTGACTTCTACTTCCCCATTTCATGCTAGAGATACTGTTTAATAAATAAACTGAGCAAGGTCCTAGCTCGGGGCATGGTTTTGAGAGATAGCTAAAGGAGAAGGTGCTCAGCAGTTTGGGTATGTTTTTAGCTTCATGAATGCTGAGCCAGGCTATTTTTTTCAAGAATCACCATAATTGACTCAGAAATGCCACAATCATCCCCCCAACAAGGCCCAGGAAATATTGTGGAAGAAGGCACACAAAGAATGTAAGAGCTGGAGGAAGTTGGGGGAGTGGTGTGGAATGCTGACTGGGAGATGTAGCTGCTGCACTCTTGAATTCTCAGCAGCTGTGATTACCTGCACAAGTTTGGGCCAGTAATGTATTGTCATGGAGTGGCTCAAGAGGCCCCACTCCTCCCTGAGGAGCTTCAGGCAGGCAGTTAATGGTTGATAGGAGAGGGAAAGACATTTTCTTCAGTGTTATAGTCACTGGCAAGTTGCCCATGCTCCTGTAAGCTACCTTAATGAAACTCATTGGGTCTCACACATACATAAACACACACACAGACTCACACACCATGAAGGTAGAGAGGAGGCTAGCAGGGAAGAGGAAGGGGATCAGTGGGGGTGAGAGAAGAGAGGGTAAAGGAGTAAATATGATCAAAATACAGTTTATACATGTATGAAACTCATAGTGAAACCCATTATTGTGTCCAATTAATATATGCTAAGAATATTAAAGAAAAGAAAATGTAGTATATCTATACAATGTAATTTTTCAGTCATAAAGAACAGTCATGTCACCTGCACGAAAATGTATGCAACTGGAATGTGTGTGTGTGTGTGTGTGTTTGTGTGTGTGTGTGTGTGTTTTTGTTGTATGGTAAATGTATGTGTGCATGTGTGTATGTAGGTGTGCACCCCCCAAGTATTTATGTGTGGAGGTCAGAGAAGAATATCAGGTGTCTTCCTCTATCTATCTCCAGCTTATTACCTTGAGACAGGCTCTCTCACTGCACCTGGGTCTTGCCATTTTTCTGCTATGCTGTCTGGCCAGCGAGACTCAGTAACCCTCTTGTTTTTGCTTCTTCCAGTCCTGGGGTTATAGGATGTGTGCCTGTGCCTAACTTTTTTATGTGGATGCTGGGGATGTGAACTCAGGTTCTAATGTCTTTGCAGCAAGTGCTCTTACTCACTGAGGCATCTCTCCAGCCCCACCTGTGTGTTTCCTAATTTTAAAAATGTATATGTGTGCATGTATGTGTGTGTTTATGTGCACATGTGTATAAGAGTTCATGGAGGCCAGAACAGGGCATCAGATTCTCTGGAACCGGAGTTACAGGTGGTTGTGAGCTACCCATTTTGGGTGCTGAGAACTGAACTTGGGTCATCTGCAGGAGCAGCAAGTGCCCTTAACCATTGAGCCATCTTTCTGGCTCTCTGCTTCTTAACTTTTCACATCCTATGATGTCTTGCTAGTTCACTTTGGGAACTTACCTCTTCCCAAGGAGGACATCAGACAGATTTATAAATGTGGGAAAGTCCAGGTTGTTCCAAACAGGGTAGGCATGGATGGGAATAAGCAAGGTGTCATCTCCCTGAAATTAGTGAGAAAAAAGTCAAGTTTAATATTTGGAAAACTATCATTTTGAAAAATAACCTTTTTCTCATCATTAAAGAGTTCCCTTCAGAAACTTCAATGCTTAACTACAGCACTAAAAATATTGCATTTCATGGGGGCTGGAGAGATGGCTCAGTGGTTAAGAGCACTGGCTGTTCTTGCAGAAGATCCAGGTTCAAATCCCAGCACCCACACGGTGGCTAACAAAAGTCCGTAACTCCAGTTCCAGGGGATCCAATGGCTTCTTCTGTCCTCTGTAGGCATTGCACAACATGGGTGCACTTGCATACATGCATGTAATACACACACATACACACACATTAAAACAACAACAACAACAAAAAGATTGCATTTCTTTTGCATGCAGGTGCATATGCATGGTGTGTGCATACAGAAGCAGAGGACAGCTTCAGGTGCCATTCTCAAGCACCATCCACATTTTTGTTTTTGAAATAGGGTTTCTCACTGTCCTGGAACTCACCAAGTAGGCTGGGCTTGCTGGCCAGTGAGCTACAGGACCTTCCTGTCTCCACCTCCTCAACACTGGAATTACTATGTCCAGCATTTTTTAAACTGGATTTTAGGGATCAAACTCATGTCCCCATGCTTTCGTAGCAAGTTATTTACCACTTGAGCTGTCCCTCCAGCCCCAGAAATACTGTGTTTCTTAGCAATAAACAAAGAATAGAAGATTTTTAAGTGTGCCTTATTGGAACAATATTTGCCATTACCTGAGAAAGCCAAAGGTAATACTTGTCTCGGGTAAGGATCTGTCTGCTTCAGTTGTAAAAGTTAAAGGGAAAGCCATTATTTAGAAGCCCAAGAGAAAGCAATCAGCACAGAATTTCCCAGGCTACAGAGCACAGAAAAGAAATCAGTTTGGTGGAAAGAGAGCCAGAGACTAATTCTAGTTTAGCATGATGAGTGACATTCAGAGAGGCCTGAGCCCTTTCTGGGCCTCTCTGGTTCTTTACAAAGTGGAGATAATCATACTTTCCCTTGAGGGGATCTTTAAACATTGAAACAGATGGCAGACATCCTTTAAACATAAAAAGCATTGCATCAATATAAAATACCAGTATTAGCCTTGTGAGCAGTGTCAGGAAATGTGCCCGGAGCTTCTCACTCTGGCTTCTTGACTCTAGCTGAGGTCATGAACTGAATGTGAGGGCTACAAAATATTTGGCAATGGTGAAAGATTCCTAAATGTGCAATGACAAATAATTAATTTAAAATCAAATATGTGGTGAATTCGAGATGTTTCTAGTGATACTTGCCCATGTGATATCACTGCAGCCTTGGTTCTGAACCACACACAACAAGTGCCTGTTGTAGTACACATGCCTCACAACACAGAATGCCAGTTGATACTACCCGAAGCACCTCAGCTCAGATTCAGTACTACTGTATGTTATTAATTGTGGAGTTTTTAGTGTACATGTAAAGTATTCTGCTCTTGGGGCTGGAGAGATAGCTTAGCAGCTAAGCTAAAAACATTTACTGTTCTTCCAGAGAACCTAGGTTTGATTCCCAGCACCCACATGGAAGCTAACAACCATCTATAACTCCAGTTCCAGGGAATTCAATGCCCTCTCCTGGCTTTTACAGGCATTGTATGCATGTGGTGCACTTAAATACATGCAGGCAATACAATCATACACATAAAATAAAAACGATAAATAAAATATTTTTAAAAATAAAATAAAATATTCTGCTGTTATAGGAACAAATGGTTTAATTATGGAAAACAAAAACTTTGTATTTTCCTTTTGTCATTCCTCAGTATGTATTAAATTAGTATATCTTTGGATTGTATTATCTTAGAAAGTTTGATTTTTGTTTCTTTTTACATTTTATTGTGTGTGCATGTGACTGGATGTGTGGTATATGAATGCATGTGTATGTCGGTGTGCACGCTCAGGGAGGTCAGAGGAAGATGTCAAACACCCTGCTCTATCACTCTCTATCTTATTCCTTGAGACAGAATCTCTCACTGGAGCTGGACTGGCAGCCAGTAGTCCAAACGACCCTCCTCTGTGTCCTCCCACAGTGCTGGGGTTACAGGTGTGCACATCCATGCCCAGCTTTTTACATGGGTCCTGGATATTTGAACTCAGGTCCTCATGCTTGCATAGCAAGCACTTAACCTATGAAGCTATTCCCCAGCCTTGATTTGTTTTTCTTAGATAAAGTTTTGTTATATAGCCCAGCTGGCCTTAAACTTGAGACTCTCATGCCTCCTGAGTGCTGAGATTATAGGTATTCACCTTTTAAAAATGAAATCAAGGCAAAAATGTCTTTAAGACAGACCTTTACTGTACAAATTGTAAGTAATAAAAGCATTAGTTGAAAAGAAAAAGGAAACTCATCTACTACTGAATCATAACCTTCCATTTTAGTTATGAAATGTTAAGAGTGTAGTTAATTTCAAAGCTTCTGGAATTCAAAGACTGGGTTTGCAACAAAGAGAAAGACAGGGTGGGGTGACCCCAGGTGGAGCTGGCTTGGACTGGAGACTGAAGGATGTATTAAGGGGCCTGGAAAAAGCACCTAAGAATTCAACAGGTACAAGCATCTCAGTCAGGCCATCAGGGTCCACCTCTGTGAGGCCCACAAACTCTGTGGATGTTCAGGCCAGCCACCAGTGTTTATAACCACAGAGTGGAGAGCTATTTATTTTATAGCCTTGCACTTAAAGGACTATATTTAAGTTATTTAGTGATGCCTTCTTGGGGCCTTGTACCACAGGATAAATGACGGTTTGGCACAGGCAGCAGGCAATTGCAGTGCATGGTGTCTAGGGGGTCTGTCCAGGTTCTGTGGCCTAGCTCATCCCAGCTAGGATGCAGGTGTACCTATGGACCCCACAACCTCATACATCATTCAGAAAGTGCTGAAAGGTCATTCTGGCGTCTTTTCTCCTTCCTTCAGGATATGAAAGATTAAGTGTTAGGTACAAACAGCAGAGATGTACCACACAGTGTTTGTGAAGCCTGCCCAGCATCCCCACCATCTAATCTCATTCCAGCTGGGCCACAGGTGTACCTGTAGGCTCTCTAGCCTCTTATAGCGCTGAAAAACTGACAGGTCCCTCTAGTTCTCTTTTGTCCCCTCTTACAGATATAAAGTGTTACCCTCTCCCTTACCATTACCAACAAATGGCAGCTTCCAGAAACTTACCTTACAGTGAACGTGAATGCAGTCATAATAGTACCGCCACTCATCTGGAGAAAATTTAACAGTGATCATGAGAGACAAGCCAGGGATGAGACCGTGTTCCTGGAAGGTAAGGTGGTGGTTGTCAGGATGGGCCCAGAGCTGGCAGACAGCAGCACTGTAGGGGATAACACAACACACTGCCCCAGCAGGCCTGAGACAGAAAACTTCCACCCAGCACAGATCCCTTGAGCAGGGCAAGTGGCCCAGGGACACTTACCTTTTTCTCATAGGCAATCTGAAAGTATTTGGTTTGCGGGGGTAAAATATGAACAGCCGTGTCTTCATCTGAAATATTAGCCAAGTACTGAGAGAGAAAAGGAGGCAATTAGAGTTTGGACACTCTTATTTCTGTACTAATCTCTTCATTTTCTTATACCTCATTTTTATTCCTAGGAGTCAAGGGGATGTGCTTTTAACTTTTTAAAAGATGTGAAATACAGGCTAAGAAGATGGCTCAGTGGATAAATTGCTTGCTGGTGTGGTGGTTTGAATGAGAAATGTCCGCCATAGGGTCAGGTGTTTGAACAGTTGGTGGCGCTGTTTGGGAAGGTGGTGCAGCCTTGCTGGATGCCAGCATGTCAGCAGAGGTGGGCTTTCAAGGTTCATGGCTTGGCCACACTTCCAGTTTGCTCTGTTTTGTGTTTTTGATTGAAAATGTGAGCTCTCAGTTTCTAGGCCCTGCCACCATGCCTGCTGCTTGCTGCCATGCCTCCCCGCCATGGCAGGGTCCCTGTAGCCCCAGCTGGCCTGGAACTCGCTATATAGACCAGGCTGGCCTCAGAGAGGATCTCACAGAGATCTGCCTGCCTCTGCCTCTCGAGTGCTGGGACTCAAGGTGTGCCCACCATACCCAGCTAGATGATGGACTCTTTTAACCCTGGAACTAAGTGTAAGCCAAAATAAATTCCTTCATAAGTCGATTTTGGTCATGGTGTTTTATCACAACAATAGAAAAGTAACTAATATACTGGGCAAGCATGAAGAACTGAGTTTGGATCCCAGCACCCATATAAAGAGCTGGGTGTAGGAGCAGCACGCACCTGTGAACCCCAATGCTGGGGAGGTATAAACAGGAGAATCCCTGTGGCCGAAAGAGTGAACTTCAGGCTCAGTGAGAGACTCCGAGTGATTGAGGAAGACACTGATGCCCTCTTCTGGCTTCCTCATGCACACATGTGTGCACACCTCTCCACATGTGTGTATATACCACATATACATACACCACATATACATACACAAAGAGGTAGTTAGGGAAAAGTTGACTTTTCCTATCCTTAGAACATCAGTATGCTATATATGTGCATACACTTATATATACTTTCATATATTTACATGTAATGTTATGTTTTAATATGAATAGCACACAAATTTAAATACAATATGTGATTCTTTTTATTTAAAATTCTAGATTGTCAATTGATTAACACAAAATGATTTTTATTCAGGCAGGAAAGATAGCTCAGAAGTTAAGAGTGTTTGCTGCTCTTATAGAAAAGTGGAATTTGATTCACAGCACCCACATGAGATGGCTCACAACCACCTATAACTACAGCTCCAGGGGAAACAACACCTTCTTCTGACCTCCACAGGTACTGCACTCATATGTATACACACACACACATAAGGCAGCTCACAACTGACTATAACTGCAGCTCCAGAGGGTTTGACACCCTCTTCTGGCCTCTGTGGGCACCTGCACACATGCTGCATACATTCAAAGAGCACATAGTCATACACATAAATTTAAAAACAAATAAATAAATGGTTCTATTGATTTTTGCCTAACTCTTACATCCATAGTCAACCAATAGTTATGGCAAATACATAATGCAGTTTTGGAAAAAAATGATGCTCAGGAAAGATACACTGTGCTTATACCATGGTGTAAAATCCCCTCATGTTCACACCCTGAGGTGAAGCCACTGGTAATCATGGCCCTAATTTTGAGAAGCAACATCTTGGGCACAGTAGAGTCCTTAAAAGCTGTAATAGGCAGTTAAAAGTAGTATTATTGCGGAAAGCCAGAGGGAACTGTTCATTATGGGGTAATAAATTTGTCTGGGGGTGGCTACAGAAAGACTGGGTGTCTCTGAGGAAAACCGATGGATTATTTACTTAATAAATTTGAGGCAAAAATTCTTTCCACAAAGGAAAATAAAGAATGTAAGGAGCCTTGGCTTTGAAAAAACTGAAAATCATTATTTAAAATTTCAAAGTAAATATGCAGATAGAACATTTCAAACCCTTCAACTAGAACTGGATTGATTTCAAAGGTTAATGATCAATTTATTGTAGTTCTTTACATGCATTCAATCATTGCACGCATGGGAAATTTACAGAGTATTCTGTGTCAAAAACTAGTAAAACAGAGTAGTGAAATTTCCCTCTCTGTTTGGCAAGAATCTTTTAAAAAAGAATTTATTATTTCTCTATTTAGTTATTTTTAACACAGTGAGTCCAATTAATACTGCCATATGTGCATGGGTGTAAGGTCATCCACTGGGGTGTGAGCAGTGGCCACTCCCACCAAAGAAAAGTGACTCCCCCTCCCTCAGCAGCTATCAACTGCCAATAGCGCCTCAGCCAGGAGTGAGGTCTAGGTAGCCCCTCCCTCATCCATGCTGGAATTTTGATTGGCTTGATCTTGTGTGAATCTTGTGCAGGTAACCGCAACTGCTGTGAGTTTGTGTATGGAAAGCCAAGTTATGTCCAAAATACAGAATTTCACAGCTCTCCTTCCCATCCTCTGGCTGGCTCTTCCATTCTTTTTGGCCCTCTTCCACAATTTAGATGTCTCCCCTAAAGCTGAGCCCTTACAGTCACATATTCACAGCACTTGGAACAGTTATGAGTGTCTACATTTGTCAAGAATCTCAAGGCAATTGCTTTGGGCTACTGCTTAGCCTTGGTGGGAACAGGAAGTTGACTTTCCTGATGTCTCCTAGAATGCTGTCAAGGTGAAATCATGTACTTTTATCTGTTTCTGTTTGTTCGAAGGTCTGGTAGAAGCTGTGGGATGGTTTAGACTTCACACTGGTCCTTAGAATGAGTGAAGTCCTGCCAAGTCAAGTCAGCCTTGTCTAAGAGTGAGTTCAGTATCTTTCCTTTGCAAATGTTCATTGAGTGTTTTCTATGTGCTAGGCATTGTGCTGGGCACTGAGGAAGTAACAATGTGAAAAAAGACCTATTCCCTCTGCTCTCCAGCAGGGCAGAGACTTCAAATCTTTAAAAAGTTTTTTTTTTAAAGATTGGTTTTACTTCTTTTAAAAAATATTTTATTTATTGCTTTTATTTTATGTGTATGTGTGTATTGCCTGCACTTGTGTCATGCAATGCCTGTGGAAGTCAGAAGAGAGCATCAGATTCCCCTGGACCTGGAGTTATGGATGATTGTTAGTCACCATGTGGGTGCTGGGAATCAATCCTGGGTTTTCTGCAAGAGCAGCCAATGCCCTTAACTGCTGAGCCATCTCTCCAGCACTGATTTTATTCTTAATTATGTGTATGTTTATGTCTGTATGGGAGTATATACACATGAGTGCAGTGCCCTCCGAGGCCAGAAGAGGTGTCGATTTCCTGAATCTGGAGTTACAGGTGATTGGAGCCACCCATGTAGGTGTTTGAAACTGGACTTGGGTCCTCTGAAAGAGCAGTATGTAGTCTCTCCAGCAATCTCTCCAGCCCCCCAGATTTCATTATTTATTACAATATTTATTTATTTGGGGTGAGGTAAGGAACATGTGAAGTTTGGAGGACAATTTGTGGGAATCAGTTCTTTCTACCACATGGGTTCCTAGATCAAACTCAGGTTGTCAGGCTTGGCAGCAAGCACCTTTATCCACTGAGCCATCTCACCAGCCCATTTTGTGTCTTTTTCAACAATTAACCAATGCTCCTTTGCTTCCCATTTATTCTCAGAGGGAATGAGATCACCCATGAGGAAACTGAAATTGAGTCTTAGCAGGTCAAAATGACCTTAGACGTTATGATGGCTTGGGACCTTCCAAAGTCCAACCCTACCAGACAAAATTTTATTCTTAAGTATTTTTCTTTTATTAATATCTCTTTAGGAGACAATAATGAAAGAAAAGCTTGGGAAACATATCCATCGCCAAATTTCATGAAATTTATCTCAATTTTCTCAAGCACATCATTTTTCTGCTCAAATTGCTTTCTGAATGACACCATGTTAGTTTTTATTGAGAATTTAATACATGCATATAATGTGTTTGAAATCAAATCTACATCCCACATTCCCTTCTCGCCTATTTTCCCCCTTTTAATTTGACTTATTTTTTTAAAATTTTATGTGCATGAGTGTTAGGCTTGCATGCGTGTAAGTACACCCATGTCATGCAGCTCCCGTGGGGGACAGAAGAGAGTGTTTGGATCCCCTGGAACTGGAGTTATGGATGGTTGTCAACCACTGTGTGGGTGCTGGGATTTGAATCTGGATCTTCTGCAAGAACAGCTAGTACTCTTAACCACTGAGTCATCTCTCCAGCCCCCAAATTAAAAAAAAATAACTGTATGTGTCTGTGTCTGTGTGTCTGTGTGCATGTGAATCAGTGCCTGTGGAGACCAAAAGAGGGCATTGGATACCTTATAGCTGGATTTACAGGTGGATTTGAGCCACCCAATGTGTGTCCTAAGAACCCAAGTTGGGCCCTCCCTCTTAAGAGCAGTACACCACACCCTTAACTGCTGAGCCATCTCTCCAGCCCTCTCATATTCTTTATGTCAATATTTGAATCCCAACCTACATATTATTTTCTTTTTTTGAGACAAGGTCTCCCTTTATCCCCAGCTGGCCTGGAACTCGCTGAGATCCACCTGCCTCTGCCTCTCAAGTGCTGGGATTAAAGGTGTGTGCCTTTAATGGCCAGCCAAACCACATCTTGAAAAAGAACAAAGTTGATGGCCAGCCCAACGCACATCTTGAAAAAGAACAAAGTTGATGTACTAGTCAGGGTTCTCTTTGACTTGCTTGAGTCAGATGCCCCTGAATCAGTCGCTTTGGTCAGAGAGAATGTGTGTATTAGTGTGACCCCTGCCTTCATAGACCTTGACACATTCTCTAGGGAAGACATGGCATCTGACCCCAGCAGGTGAAAGGGAGCCCTGTCTGAGATGTCCTGGGAAAGGGACACCCCTGGTGTTAGAAACACATTGGTTTGGAGGAAGGTAGCTCAGCATGCAGTTATATCCCCATCACTCAATACTTTGGGTGTTGGAACCAGTGATTTGGCTTTTGAAATCTGGGATCCTTATCTAGGTACCCCTTCCATAGAGCCAGTGTAGACTAAGAAGATCACATAAACCATGGAGCCCAGTCTTGGTCCCTAGATTGGCTCAGCAGGGACACCTATTTGGAGAGTGTTGGGAGGGCCCTTGAGCAGAGCAGGAGTAATCTGTCCAAGGACACTGATGCCCCTTCACAATTCTCATTGAACTACTTTTCTGACCTCTCTCTCTCTCTCTTTTTCTCTTTCTGCCTCTCTCTCTCATTCTGTAGGTAGGCCAGAGGTCAACCTTGGGTATGTTACTCAGACATTCTACCTTAAATTTACATTATTCTTAAATTTTTAAATTACATTTATTTATTGGGGAGAGGGAGGTTGCATGCACGTGTCAGAGCACATATGTGGAAGTCAGATTCAGGAGTCGATTCTCTCTCTCCACCATGGGGACCCTGGGGATTGAACTCAGATAATTTGGGCTTGGTGGAAAGTGCCTTTACATGCTGAGCCATCTCACTAGCACCACATTGTTGTTATTTTTTCATTACAATTATTTATTTTGTGGGAGAGGACACATGTGCCACAGTACACACCTAGAGCTCAGAGGACAACTCGCTGGGGTGAGTTCTGCTCTTCCATCATGTAGATCCCAGAGACTGAACTCAGGTGGTCAGGCTTGGCAGCAAGTGCCTTTATCAGCTAAGCCATTTCACGGGCCCCCTACATTGTTTTTTGAGATAGGTTCTCCCACTATACCTGGAACTTGCCAATTCCTCTAGGCTGGTTCCCCACATATTCACCTGTCTCCATGTCCCTACCACTGGGCTTCCAATTGCATGCCACCATGCCCAGCTCCTTTACATGATGATGGGGATCAAATACAGGTTCTCATACCTCTTTACCTCTTAAACTATCTCCCCAGTCCTTGCTCTTTAGATGAACCAGTAACATACATTCAAAACACATTATTTTACTATTATGGTTAGTCTCCCCTACTCTTAAGAAGTACCCCATCCTTAACAAGTACCTACCAGAATCTGTTGATGCTGTTTTTCTATTTCATAGCCTCCAAAATGGACTATGCCGGGTCTTGCCTGGATGACCTTATTATTCAAAAGCTTGACATAAACCTCTATAAAATCAAGGCAGATAAGTCAGTCATGAGACATCAAAGAGAATATTACATTAAAGAATATCCTATTAAGGAGGACTGTCTTTAATTTAGGGCACTTTGAACACATGAAACTTCCAGACTGTTGATACAGTTGCCAATTAGATTAATCACAGGTCCCAAATAAACTGGATGGATTCTCTTTTTCTGTTTTAAAAAAAATACTTTTATTTTTATCTATGTGTGTCTATATGCATGTGTGGGTGGGTACCTGCAGAGGCCATAAAAGGGCATTGGATCCCCTGGAGCTGGTTGTGAGCTGTCTGATATGGATGCTGGGAACTAAACATGGTTTCTCCATAAGAGCAGCAAGCGCTCTTAACCCCTGGCTCTTTCTCCAGCCCCTCCCTTGCTACTTTCAAGCATCACTTGTAGATGCTCCCATCACAGTACAAATTCATACCATGTTTAGTATCTATTAAAGTTATTTAATCTCAGGCTGGAGTACATACTTCTCTTCCAAGAATGAGAGTTTTGTTCCCAAGACCCATGTCAAGCTGCTCAGAACTGCCTGTAACTCCACCTCCAGGGGCTCTGGCCCCTCTGGCATCTGAGGACACTGCAGTCATATGTAATATCCATACATAGGCGCACACACATACACATAATTAACAAGAAAATAAATTTTTTTTGGTCTTTTTGAGATAGGGTCTCCTTGTAGCCCCAGCTGTCCTGGAGCTCATTATGTAGACAAGGCTGTCCTTGAACTCACAGAGATCCACCTGCCTCTGCCTCCTGAGTGCTGGTATTAAAGGCGTGGGCCACCATGCCTGGCCTAATAAAATCTCTTTTTAAAAAAGTTATTAGTAGCCGGGTGTGTTGGCACACACCTTGAATCCCAGCACTTGGGTGGCAGAGGCAGGTGGATATCTGTGAGTTTGAGGCCAGCCTGGTCTCCATTAGTGAATCCAGGCCAGCTGTGCTACAAGGTTAGACCAAAAAAAAAGTTATTAGTTCTCCACATATATCGTGTATGTCTTTGGTGTACATGCAGGTGTGTGTGTGTGTGTGTGTGTGTGTGTGTGTGTGCATGTGGAGGCCAGAGGACAACTACTTCTGATGTTATTTCTTAGATGCCACTCCTCTCTCTCTCTCTCTCTCTTTGAGACAGGGTATCTCATTGGTCTGGAACTCAGAAAGCAAGCTAGGCTGACTAGTTAGCAAGCTCCAAGCCTCACCGATCCTCCTGTATTCTCCTCTCCAGTGCTGGGACTACAAGCCTACAAGTGTGTACCATCATACCTGACATTTTCACATGGGTCCTGGAGATTGAACTCAGGTCCTTATGCTTGCAAGACAAGGACTTTACAGAGCTATCTCACCAGCTCATTATGTATATGTCTTTGTAATAAAACATCAACTTGTAAAAAGCCTCTCACACAAAGGCTGCAAAATTAGCATATAAGAAAAATTCAATGACAAGGAAAAGACTAGACCCTCTCTCTCCTGCTGGAGTCACTGGCACAGGCACAGAGCCACTCTGGGTGTCTGAAGGTACCCCGTGACTCATCATAATAGTAAAATGCACCCTTGGATGGAGATGAAGATGGTGAGACATGTGATGCATGAATTTGTATTATAAGGCATATGAAAGAAAGCCTACTCTATGCAAATGACCCACCAAAGCTCACAATATGAGGCATGAAGCCCCATAATGGGGCTGTTTGTGCTTCAAAACTTTCTGCTCTGGTTCACGTCCCCCTCTTTGGAAGTGTGCTATCTTGTTTGTTTGTGTGTGTGTGTATACACACACACACATATATAGAGAGAGAGAGAGAGAGAGAGAGAGAGAGAGAGAGAGCAGGTATGTGAACATATGTATGTGGTTCTGTGAAGGCCAGAGACCAACCTGTAATATTGTTCCTTAGGAACCGCCTACCTTGTTTTTAGAGATAAGGTCTCTCATTTTTACTTGGAACTCATCGATTCACTTAGGCTGACTGGCCAATAGAGTCCCTTTTTCTGCCTCCCCAGCACTGGGATTACAAGTACTTGTCACCATATCTGGCATATCTGGCAGCCCTATCCTAATAGAATGACTATGGGAATTTCTCTGAGCAAAAGAGAAGCAATATAGGAAGAACCCTTAAGAAATCAGCAAAAAGAGAGGGCAAAAACCCAGCAAAAATGTAGATAAATACGTTCTTTAATCTATGGTTTTAAGTTCTGCTAAGTGTGGTGGAACACTCCTTTAAGTCCAGCAACTCAGGAAGAAGAGGCAAAGAGGATCTCTGTGAAATCAAGACCAGTCTGGATATACAGTTGATTCCAGGGGCTACAGGGAAACTGTCTCCACTCCCCCTAAAAAGGCAGGCTCTGTGCCTATAACCCCAGCACTGGTTGGGGGGCAGGGACAGAGATGTTCACTGGCAAGTCTAATTTGCCAAATCAAGCTTTCAGTTCAATGAGAGACTCTACCTCAAAAAATAAAGATGGAGGCTGATAGAAGAAACCTGACATCTACCTCTGGCCTCAAAATGCACAAGCATATACATACAGGCACTTACACTAACAAGTATATATACCAGGCACATAAATACACAATACACCCACATCCACACCCATACCCATCCACCTACACACCCCCCAAAATGAAAAAAAATCCATTAAAATTAAGATAAAAGCATGAGTAAGAATTATAAAAATTCACAAATAGGGAGCTGGAAAGATGGCTTAGCAGTTAAGAGCACTGACTGCTCTTGCAGAGGACCTGAGTTCAATTCCCAGTACCCACATTGAGGCTAAGAACTGTCCTTAACTTCAGTTCCAGGGGAATCTGACACTGTCTTTTGACCTCTGCAACATTGCAGGACAGGGGTGCACTCACATACATGCAGGCAATACACTTGTACACATAAAAGTAAATAAGTAAACTTTTTAAATTCATAAATAGAGTGAGAACCCAAGAAAAAGTTAGAAATAGAAAAAAATATCATCTAAGAAGTGAAGATTAAACAAAGGAACATGAAAGGATAAACACAACAGACAATACCTTATGATTTTTTTCATATATAATGGAGAAC